TGATGTGTATCCCATTGAACATTACAACTCAATATGCACAAGTTTTTCATTACGAAAAAATAAAATAGACAATTAATGACAAATGTTGTAAATTACCATCATACCCTTTACTTAATTTTCTTTCTCTCTAACGCTTATGATTTATTTATTTTTAAATAATTACACTATTAAATCTGATTTAATTCTTCCTTAACATTCTGATTTACTTTCTTTTTAAAACTATCAAAATATTTTGGATAAATAGTATAAGGGACTATTACAATGAAGTCCCAACCTTATTTTTTCATAAAGAGATAATTCATGAGTCATCTTGAGTCAACCCCCTACAACAAAACACAGCCACAAAAAGAAAAAATGACAATATGTTTTATACCACCCGAGTCCTTCCATTTCAGAAAAATGTACCTAAATCATTTTGAAAGTCTAATACACAACAAATCATCTTGTCCTCAAGATATTTAGTTGTGTTTCATTTTGTCCATATCCATAGTCCAACTTGGGAGAATAGATCCAAGGGCATTAAGATTTATTTTCGTTGGATACTCTTCAACTTAAAAAAGATGCAAGTATTACTCTACTCTACAATTAAAGGTTTTACATCTTAGTGAATGTTACTTTCCATAAGCATGAGTTTTATTTTGACACTCCTTACCTTTAGTGAGAGAATTCGATAATGGAAGGTAAGGATCTTATACTTGACTTGCTGACACTACCTGTATTTAATCAGGATCCAAACCTTGCTCGTATGTGTCTCAATTAATGTCAAATCCTGCATCTAAACGAATGTCAAATCTTATGTATGAAAATCCTATGTTTGAACTAGTATTCAAAAATTCCCAAGAAACAACAAGTCCTGCCTTGAGAGTGTGAGATTTGGCAAAGTCGATGTATTTTCAAGGAAGAAGGTGCTTATCTAGAATTGGTGGCAAGTCCTAGACTTCTACCCACAAAAATGAGATAAACAAATTCTAATCCTTCATTGTAAAATGAAACTTGATCTACACATCTAGTGAGGAAAGCAATCGTGAAACAATGTGTACATGGGTCTTTGTCCCCATTATACATAGTCAAAGCCACTGGATCTTTTCTTCATAAGAGGCTTTTTTAGTTCATATCTTACCAACACCGTCCGAAGAAGAAAATTCTAATACCATCTAGTTTAGGGCACCATGACTCAAGCTTGGTTATAAGGCCACAAATATTCCCTGACGGTCTCCATCTGGCCATTACCAATCATATAAACTTGCCTCGGTTGCATAAACTTACTCTATAACTTTCTCCAAGGATTTGAATGATTGAGAAATTAATGATTATATGAGACTTCTCAACTCTCTATCTTAGGTAGTGATTTCCTTTGGTTCAGGAGATGAGCCGATATGGTGTCACAGCAAAATGGGGCTCTTTTTTGTGAAAATGTTTTATTCATTCTTGACCACGAGATAGAATACCAGTGAGAAGTTCCATTGGGTATGGTTTCAAAGGTGAAGGCGACCCCCAGGGTTGCATTTTTCTCTTATGAAGTTGTTTAAGAGCATATCTATAAGTTAGATAAGCTAAGGAGAGGGAAAATCTTGTTGAATGGTTGTTTCTTGTGCAAGAGAGATGCAGAGACATGCAACCACCTCATTTTGTGGTACATGTTTGCCTATTATCTTTGGTCTTTGACTTATAGTCTTTTGGGGCTAAGTTTGGTGGTTGCTGGATCTGTGGGTGAGGAGCTGTGTGCATAGAAGGGCATTCAAATTTTTGGTTATTTAGAGGAAAGATACGTGAGCCTCCTTCCCCTTATTACTTTTTGTATAGTGCGAAAGCAAAAGAACATGAGAGCTTTTGAGGACATAGAGGTCAATATCGATAAAGTTAAGAGTAGTTGCTTCAAGACCTTAGATTCTTTTATTGACACTCTGATTCATATATAAATACCTTTTATACATGGGCTTGCACCCCTTAGTGTGTGAGTGAATACATACACATTTTTTTATTTAAAAAAAAATTGAAAAGAAAGAAATAGGAGAGCATTTAAAGGGAAAGAACTTTCTTTTGATAGCTTTAGAGATACGTGGTTCAAGACCCTTAGTTACTGATTAAAGAGTCAACTGTTGTTTTCTAACGAGGAAATTAGGGTTCCTTGATTGATATTTTGTTAAACATGTAAATATATTTTTTTATGTGAATTAAACTACATTGATGACTTTTAATATACTCATACTTTTTCTTCTCAAACAAAAAAAAAATAGAAACAAGAAAACTCTTGGTGATCGTTCTAGCTTAGTACTTAAGTCATATTGTTCAATGGTACTAGACAATAGAATGACTTGCTCCTGGAAGGCACAAAGTCACACTCTTGTGATCTTGCTTGCTTAGGCAAAGTAATTCATTACCCACTTTAAAGCTGCAAAGCAATTCCTTACCCACTTTAAAGCTCTTTCAATTTTAGTAAATCCATTATGACCTTGGTTGTGCAACTAAAGCAACCAAAATGTGAAGCCATGTTACTTTTGTCCTTATTCTCAATTTCTACTCAATTATCTGTAATTTTATGCAACACCCAGATCTGACCTTTTTGGCAGACAGTTCTAATTTATTCCACCAAGAACCCTGATTGATTCTCACTTGAATCTAACCTCGAAGCCTAAATACACCCGAACAAACACCTTTAAAACCAATCCTACAGTTTCCAACTTTCCATTGTCCTCACATGCACCCAAGGAACCTTCAATTCACCAACAGTCTGCCCAAGTTCAACCCAACGAATTCCTAAACTAAATCTTTAATTCCTAAATATGGAAATTATCTCCATTTATCCCACATCAAGGCCATAATAGATTTTATCAAAAACAGTGAGAATATTATTCAACAAAAGCACATAAGTCAGTTGCAGAATATTGAATCCATAAATCACAGGCATTGGTACATCAGGTAAGAGCATATAATAATATCTTACCTCTTCTAACTACAGGTGATGCTGTCATCCCAAATATCTTTGGCTTATTATTACATTTGTGGTAAAATTCCTTCACCAAAACAAGAGGGAACCGAAGAAATCACTTATAGTTATAAAATATACGCAAAAAAAAGCTTTAGAAAAATGGATAAAACCCAAAAAAATATAACCAAGGGTGGGCGTGCAAGAAACAACCTTCATTATTCTTGCATATGGATGATTACCAGTGGCACGATGGCACTCATCTATTATGAGAAAGCATACTGTTTCTAGATGCAAGAATGCCTTCCTCAACACATCCAAGAGAACCTGGGGTGTCATAACTAGAACCTATAAGATAACAGGAAAAAAGATATGATAATCCACTTTCAGCACCATAATTTGATAATCATTAATTTAAGAATAATCTGAATCTTGGAGGATGAATATTCAAATATTCAAGAAAAGTTCTTCCCTTTATGAGACACCACAACCAAGTGGATCAACCAACTTCAATTAAAGATTACCAAACTGCTTTAAAAATAATAGTTTTGCAAAAGAAACTGGGTTTATTTATTCTTCACAATTTCTTGAACAATGCATTGTCATGCCACTACTTCTCTTCTTGTAGTTGGAAAATTGTCTTAGGTTAGACTAAGCAGTCCTCTCCCACACTCTAAACCCCCTCTCCCCCTTTCTGATATAGAATTCAAAATCAACTAACGTGATTAAAAACTTTATATATAACGTCAGTATTCAAAATCATAAAACCCTCAACAAATTCTCCCTATTTGATCTGCATTCAACATTTGAATGTCAACAAAGGTAATTTGCATAGTTTGAATTGACAAAACCTAACTAGTATGAACTTAATAAGTTAAAAATCAATTCGAAAGAAAATTGATAAAATGCACAAGAAGTTATCTTGATAAGTTAAATCAATTCTCACTCAATAAGAAGGTTGACAAAACGTAACTAGTTAAAAATTAAAACTTCATAGTTTTATTATTCTCAAACTTGAATGATTAAAATTGTGAATTGAAAACCTATTTATAGAATAAATCATATGTATTAAAAAGAAATAAATTTTCTAAATTAATGGTAGAAATTACAAGAAAATCAACTCTTATATTGAATGAGAAAATAATGAAAATTAAGAAAACTTTAACTAGAATAGGCTACATAGGATATTCTCTTTTTAAATGAGAATATTTTGATTAATTGTGGAGGAATTAAGAAAAGTAAATGTAGTTAATTAAGACTGACCATTAGATAAGCAAAGAGGTCACTCATAACTTTTTTAAACCATGAGGATTAGTTATTTAAGGAATGAGATTTGATTTACTCTTCTTTTAAGATATCACATGGTTTATGAAGAAATCTTCTCTCTTGGTTGATTTTCCCTTTAAAGAAATTATTTTCCCTTTCCTTACTCAAATCACCCCCTTCCTCTTCAAAAACGATTTGTCCTCAAATTGAACACTTCTTATGTCGAGATTTCACCAATTCTGCTTTATTTAAGAAAATGTCATCGGTTGGAATGTTGTATAAGGTCATCGCAAAAATTTGCAAGGAATAGTTAGTAAAAAAATAACACTCTCTCACGTATTTCACTCCTTATATTTTATTCAATCTCCTTCCTTCAAGTTGAATGTGAAAATTGAATTTTCTTTAATCAAATTTTGTTCACAACACTTTAAGGAATCCTACGAAAAGAAAGTGGTAAAACAATTCTAAAAGTAACAGTTCAAACACACGGATGAAGATAGTGTGTGTTTTATGTATGATTTTAAGTAATTAGGGTTCAATTAGTTACTTAGAGATATAATGGAACAAAAGCACAATGAAAGACGAAAAAAAACTTAGAGAGCAAGAAAAAAAATACGAACATGATATTCTTTTGTTTTTTTTTATGTGTAAGAGATTATACAAAGTATGTTTTTTTTAAATACGAAGAATAAAAAAAATATGTAAGGATAAAATATGCAAGATAATAAGATTTATCCCGATCCCAAGCTCTGATACCAAATAATAAGAAAACTCTGCATATAACATCAGTATTCTATATTATAAAACCCTCAACAAATCTTTCCTACTTGATCTACATTCAACATGTGAATGTCAACTAAAGTAATTGGGATAGTTTGAATTGATTAAAAATGTTACAAATATGAACTTGATAAATTAAAAATCAATTCAAAAGAAAATTGATAAAACGCCACAAGAACTTATCTTGATAAGTTAAATCAATTCTCACTCAACAAAAAGGTTGATGAAACAATTAGTTGAAAACTAAAACTTTATAATTTTATTATTTTCAAACTTGAATGATTACAATTGTGAATTGAAAATCTATTTATAAAGTAAGTCATGTGCATTATAAGAAATTAAATCTCCTAAATTAACTGTATAAATTATAAAAAAAATAAATCTCATCTTGAATGAGAAAATAATGAAAATTAAGAAACTTTGACTAGAATAGGCTAGATAGAATATTCTCTTTTTAAATTAGAATATTTTGATTAATTGTAAAGGAATTAAGGAAAGCAATATGGTTAATTAAGTCTGACAATTAAAGAAGCAAATAGGCTACTCATATTTTTCCTAGATCATGAGGATTAGTTACTTAAAGAATAAGATTCAATTTCCTCTTCCTTTAAGATATCACATGATTTAGGAAGAATTCTTCCCTCTTGGCTGATTCTCCCTTTAAATAAATTATTTTCTCTTTTCTTGCTCACATCACCTTCTCTCAAAAAAGAAAGAAAATCAATGACCTCATCAAGCAAACAATTCGGAAGTGATACTTAATCTAGAAGAAGAGGTTCAGTCACAACGGTGAGGCAAGCATGTTTGAGATCATAAATACAAAACGCATGAAGGAAGTAGGGTTCAATTTGGCTCCCACTAACCCCCACCCCACCTGACAGAACCTTCTTCTGATTATCCCTTTTGATTATCAATCTGAAATGGTATTAGCAGGAACTTTAAATATCTGATCTGGACTAGAAACACAAAATTCACTGTAAATTGCAACAAAACTACTTAAGTTTACACAGTAGTTGCTAGACATGCCTAAAGAAACTGTATCAAAAGAAAACTAGAAAAAGGAAGCTAGAGTGACAAAGCAGACAGAAACAAAAGCTGATACTTCACCATATTGATTCTGTTATGCACTTAAAACTTAACTCACATCATGCTCATTTAATTCTTTTTCCCAGGACTTCAAACTCCATTCATCAACCCTCTTGGCTCCATAATACTCTCCCACATCCAAATTTGTATGAACTTTAATAACCTCGTATTGCTGCAAACAGAATGAACAATTAACACAATAACACACAAGAAATATATCTTGAAATACAATGTAAAAGAAGTTTTGACCAAAATTTGGAACCTGTCTTAAAAAACTACCTGATTAACAAGATTAACAGTAGGGGCTAAGAAAATAATCAACTTTTTGACGCCACTTGACTTAACGATTTGACTAATTTCTTTAATCAACATCACAGCAATCATAGTCTTTCCACTTCCTGTTTCCAACACTGCTATTGTATTCCTCTTTCTTGCAACCTCATACACCTTCATCTGATACCTACAACACAACCACTTATCATACTGGCATTAACAACACTCAACAGAAACTTATAGAAACTCAAATTAAAGGAAAAGAAAAGAAATCCAAGGACAAACCTTCTAGGGTTAAAATCCATAGGATCTAGGAAAGAAGAAGAAGATTCTAACTTAGCAGTAGAATAATCAGGAGGGTTTATCAAACTTATATCAGAGGATGGGTCTAAACTGATGCCGTTGATGCTTTGCTTGAGGAGATTGGTACGATCTTGCTTTGGGGAATGCATGTTACTTTCCTACCTGACGATAAGAAGGTTTCTGGGTTATTCTATGCATCTCCCTGTTGAATATGATACACAACACTAGAAACATGAAGCCTTAAAGAAAGAATCTTTTTGTACATAAAGGAGAAATCAAGGCTCCATGTAATATATGAAAATATTTTCTAATTTTTTGTTTTCAAAATTAATGTATTTGTTAATAAAAATGTGCGAAAACTGTGCATTTGTGAAATAATCAAACTCAAACAACATCTTAAAATTTTCTAACTTCATTGTTATTTTCAGTATAATTGCATTCATTATTAACTAACTTAAATGATTTTATGAGTGAAGTATGTTTAAATTCAAAATTATGTACTAAAAAGAACCTAGGTTTTAGTATAAGGATTTATGTATTATTTTCTTTTTCTTCTTCTAGTTTCTACTTTCTAGCTGTTGAGGAAGAATCGAGCTTTAAAAGCAAGAAGGAGTAGCCTCTCGATCTCCTTTGTTGCAACCATGACACAGGGAAACTCTAAAAAATTCAAATTAGGAGTTTCTCCGCTAATTGTTATATAAGCATAATCAAAAGTTGAAACATACGGTGGTTAGATATAGAGAATTAAGATCCAAAACTGTACAGGGTGAGGCAACTATACTATGATATAGGCTAACTAATCAAGACCTATTTCTATTTGCATGCATTTATAATTTCCTAATATGTGAAAATGACATTTTTCCTTAACGAAACCTATTAACCTGCAAAGTTATAATATTTACAAATCAAAAAAAATCAGAAGCACTAAAATACATATCGGAGGCATAAATAAGAGACATGTAAAAATAAAGAGGTCTTCATGGTTGCAAACTGATAATTCTCCAAACCCCTCCCCCCCAAAAAAAAAGAACGAAAAACATGACCTATCTTTGTCCACACCTTCACATTTACGTGTACTAGACTTGCAGTCAGGAACTCATGCATTTAAAAGAAAGCAATATTACTTACCACCTTGACCAATTCATGACATAAGGTCTAATGTAAGAAGGGAGAATCGAACATATTACTTAGAGAAAGTTTATTACCAGCCAATACTAGAGATCTTGAATCTTAATAATCAAATAAATAACTTGATGTCTGAACAGTATCATATTAATGATCTACTAAATAACAAAGCCACAAAGGTAGTAGATTACAATTAAAACAAAAACTCCTATGTCTATCTAGGAGTTCTACTAAATAGGAAAATAAGCTAATTAATTAGAGAATAAAATAATAACATCCTACTTAAATAGGAAACAATAAACTTATATTACTAATAAGTATATAAATAATATTTCCTAAATACGTTAAATACCTTAATGATACATTAAGATTACAATTACACACACACATATATATATCTTATTATGAAATATGTCCACTTTAAGATCTTCCTGTTCTATACCATTTCACCCACTAGATGAAAATTTGACCTCAAGTTTTGAATTATCAAAGTAAAAGGAATTTAAATATCAAAATTAGAACTTGTCTTCCTAACAATTCAAGCTTGTGAAACTTGAATTGTCATGAGAAAACAAGAATGCTTCCAAAATGAAATATTTCAAAGACATAGTGAACCACTAGGGCATGACCCATAAAGGGACAAATAACCAAGCTTTATTCATTGCTATTAGGAGCCAAAGAAATGTTTGGAGTAGTATCTTCAGGTGAGGCCTCTTTCTTCTTAAAATCAACGAGAATGTCATCATTTTTCATACCTCAACAACGTTACCTATTAAAATTAAACCGAGAGATGCATCACTAGCTAACTCAATTTGGGTATAGAAATTAAAATATTTACAAGAATCTCCTCATTTGTCTTATCTATTAACTTGCTATATTAATTGGATAGTCAATGATAATCTCTTCAGTTACCTTATTTATTAATTTACTCTCACATGTTGGATCATCAATGACAACAACCTCATCTTGCTCCATAGAAAGATATAGGTTGTGGCATATGCCTGATAATTTTTGTGGAAAACAAGGAGAAATTAGGTTATATATTTTCTGATTTTTTTTTTATTAGTTATATATTCTGTATACAAAGGGAGTCACAAACAGATTTCCTCCTCCCCATAAAATTGTTAGGATCTTGTTAGAATTTGTTAGGTTTGTTAACATTTAGGGTGTATAAATACTCATCATTCATAATAGAAATAAATGACAAGCAACATTTCCTCTCAAATAGCTTCATGGTATCAAAGCATTACTTGATCCAAGAAGAGTGATCCCTGCTGAGTTGTAATCACAAATGGCCACAGGCGAGCTTCCGTCTTCTCAAGAGGTCTCCTCTGGTTTCTATCATCACACAACAACCAGCAACGTTGCGAGTGAGATGTCTTCATCCTGCATTACAGGATACAAATTCAACAACAGTAATTACCTACAATGGTCGTCCTCTGTCTGATTGTTCATCCAGGGGAAGGGTCGCTACGGACATCTTACTAGGGAAGTTGTATCTCCTCCAGCGACTGACTCAAGCGCTCGCGTATGGGAGATTGAAGACAACATGGTGATTTTGTGGCTCATCATGTCAATGACCCCAGAAATTGGAGAGAATTTCCTACTCTATAAAACTGCTCGCGAAATCTAGAAAGCAGCTCAAGAATTTTACTCCAGCAAAGAAAACACTTCCGTCATTTTTGAGATAGAGTCCGCGCTTCATGATCTTCGGCAAGGTGAGTTAAGCATCACTCAGTACTATAACGTCTTAACTCGTATCTGCCAGCAGATGGATACCTTCGAAGAGCGTCGATGGAGCTACCCCGAAGATGCGAAGAACTTCAAGTCGTTCGTCAAAGAGAAGCGCGTCTTCAAATTCTTACTAGGGTTGAACAGGAACCTCGACTAGATTCGAGGACGCGTGCTGAGTACCAAACCCTTTACCGAGTCTTCGGGAGGCGTTCTCTGAATTCCGACGCGAAGAGAGCCCTAGAAAGGTCATGATGGGTGATGTTGAGCAGACTCACCTGGCCGAAAACTCTTAAGCGCTCACAACCCAAGCTGTCAACGCTCAGATGAAGAAAACGAGGCTCTGGTGTGATCACTATAAGAAGCTAGGGCACACTCGTGAGCGCTGCTAGAAGCTCCATGGCAAGCCGAGTGACTGGAAGCCTTCAGGTGAGTGGAAATCCTCCAAGGCAGAAACCTCAAGCAAGCATCAGGGCAACCACGTAATTGCTAAAAAAGTCCTTTGATGCTGTGGAGAGCAGCCCCTTCAGTCCTGAACAGCTGGAAGCCCTCCAACATATTTTGTGTAAAAATTCATACCCGGTCAGTGCCTCTGTCGCACACAAAGGTAATATCCTTGATTTATCTGTTTTTTCAGAAAAAGAACAGGTGTGAGTAGTAAATTCTGGAGCTTCTGAACATATGAGTGGAGATGCCTCAATATTGCAAAAATACAGCAAGTGTGAAGAAGTTTTTTCAATCAGAATTGCTGATGATTCTCTTTCAAAAATAGATGGAATGGGCTCTGTAACATCTCCAAATTTAACTCTGTGTTCAATTTTTCATGTTCTAAATTTGGATTGTAATTTACTATTAGTCAGCAAGCTATGTGAAAACTTAAAATGTGCTGCAAAAGTTGTCTCTAATATGTGTGATTTCAAGACTTGGACTCGGGGAGGACGATTGACAGTGCTAGGATGAGCTCAGGATTATACCTGCTTCAAATCAACATTTCTAAAAGACAATCTCACAAAGCAGTATGTGCAAACTCTATTTCTGCAAATAATGATCATGATATCATATTCTGACACTATAGACTAGGACATCCAAATTTCATGTATCTAAAAAAGATGTTCCCTTCCCTATTCAAAGAAAAAGATCCAGTTTCTTTTCAATGTGAAGTATGCCAATTTTCTAAACATGTTCGCCGTTCATTGTTTAGTTTACCATACAAATCATCAAAACCATTTACATTAATTCATAGTGATGTATGGGAACCCTTCAAGGTCTCTAACATCACCGGAACTAAATGGTTTGTATCCTTCATTGATAACCATACAAGAATTACGTGGGTGTTTCTCATGAAAGAAAAATCAGAAGTTGGACCTCTATTTAAAAAATTTCATACAATGATTCGAACCCAATTTCAGATTACCATCCAAGTGTTGAAATCTGACAATGCTTGTGAATATTTTGAAGCCACCCTTGAAAAATACTTTACTGAATATGGAATTATTCACCAAACCTCTTGTGTTCATACCCCACAGCAAAACGGCATAGCTGAAAGAAAAAATAGATATATTCTTGAGTTAGCTAGATCAATTATGTTCACACTCATGTACCAAAATTCCTCTGGGGAGAGGCAGTTCTTTCCGCTACCGACCTGATAAATCGGATGCCCTCGCGGATCTTACAATTTCAATCACCTTACGCCATTCTTTCACAACCTTTTCCTGCATCTCATATTTTAAATACATTACCACTCAAAGTTTTTGGTTGTTCAGCTTATGTCCATATTCACAAACACCTCCGTGGGAAACTTGACCCAAGAGCCATAAAATACATTTTTGTTGAGTACTCTGTTAATCAGAAAAGATACAAGTGTCTACTTCCGGAAATCCGTCGCTTCTATAATACAATGGATGTCACATTTTTTTGAAAACTAACATTTTTACTCCACAACTGATATTCAGAGGGAGATGTTTACTCAAAAATATTAGTTATGCGATGTGAGTATACCTCCTCTATATCTACAGAGTCATTCTTCACCAGACAAACCTTTCATAGAACCTTAATCAAAGCCAATTACAGAGAACACATTACCTGCAGCTAGTGAGCTACGTGTCTATACTAGAAGAAACAAAGGAAAAGCACCTAAATCATCCAAACTCTGCCATGAATCCACCCTTGATCCAGGTAATGTAATCTCTGCTCCTACTTCAAATACTGATATTGATGTTCCTATTGTTTTGAGAAATGGGACTCGGACATTCACTAAACATCCTATACAAAACTATGTTTCTTTGAACAAGCTGTCTTCGGAGCATCATGCTTTTATATGCAAGATAGACAGTAGTTCACCAGAGCCCAAAACAATTCATGAAGTTTTGGAAATACCTTAATGGAAGGTATACCTCCTCTATATCTACAGAGTCATTCTTCACCAGACAAACCTTTCATAGAACCTTAATCAAAGCCAATTACAGAGAACACATTACCTGCAGGTAGTGAGTTACGTGTCTATACTAGAAGAAACAAAGGAAAAGCACCTAAATCATCCAAAAACTCTGCCATGAATCCACCCTTGATCCAGGTAATGTAATCTCTGCTCCTACTTGAAATACTGATATTGATGTTCCTATTATTTTGAGAAATGGAACTCGGACATTCACTAAACATCCTATACAAGACTACGTTTCTTTGAACAAGCTGTCTTCGGAGCATCATACTTTTATATGCAAGATAGACAGTAGTTCACCAGAGCCCAAAACAATTCATGAAGTTTTGGAAATACCTTAATGGAAGATAGTTGTTCAAGAGGAAATCAAGGCATTTGAAAAGAATAAGACATGGGAATTAGTGGATCAACCTTCAGGAAAGCACCAAGTGGGGTGAAAATGGGTCTTCACAACTAAGTATAATCCAGATAGGAGTGTGAGTCGGTATAATCCAGATAGGAGTGTCAGTCATATAGATTAGACTATCAGGAGACTTTTGCTCCAATAGTCAAACACAATACTATTCGAATACTTCTTTCACTTGCATTTAACCTTGATTGGCCACTTTGTCAACTAAATGTGAAGAATACATTTCTTAATGGTGATCTAGAGGAAGAAGTAAATATAGTTATACCACCAAGATTTGAACTAACAGACAATCCTCATAAAAAGTACAAACTGAAGAAATCACTCTATGCCTTAAAACAATCTCCAAATGCATGGTTTGATAGATTCATAAAAGCTGTAAAACATGAAGGTATGAACAATGTCACTCTGATCATACACTATTTGTCAAACATTGCACCTTAGGTAAGAAAGCCATTTTGATTGTATACGTTGATAACATCATTCTTACAGGTGATCACGTTGAGGAGATTCAGAAACTCAAGCAACTCCTAACCCAAGAATTTGAAATTAAAGATGTACGGATACTAAAGTACTTTCTTGATATGGAAGTGGTTAGATCCAAGAAAGAAATTTCAATATCTCAACAAAAGTACGTTCTAGATCTCCTAAAGGAGACTGAGATGCTAGGAAGCAAGCCTACTGACACTCCTATGGATTCAACCATTAAGCTTGGATTCAAAAACAGTTGATAAAGGGAGATACCAAAGACTCGTTGGGAAACTTATCTACCTAGCACATACAAGACTTGACATCAGCTTTGCAGTG